TACGTATTAAACCCGTGTCTGGTCTCTTGCGGTTGGTGTGTAATTGGTCTGCGTCGTGAGGCCACGATAGGCGGGGCGCTTCGCTCGATCTCGGGGCTGAGGCTTTTTAGGTTCGCTTGTTTTGCGGTATCCGGGTAGACTACTGCTTTGGCTATGGCTATGCACAGATGCGGCGCCGGGCGCCGGTTGGCGTGGGCGTGGCGGTGCACACCTGGTGGCAGAGAGAAGGGAGGCAGGCCACGCGGGCAGGGGGAGACCGGGAGCGGCAGGCGCGCGCGCAAGCAAGCGAAGGATGAGCTTACTGCAGGTTGTGTCTTTCGTGGCGGGTGCGGTCGGGGTGCGCGTACAGGGCGTCGGGGTAGGGCGGGCGTGACGCCGTAGATGTGTGCTTGTTGCGCTCGGCAGAGATAGGGTATTTGGTTGCGATGAGACAGGGTGGTGGCGGAGGTGTTTACAAACTAGGGGCCGTGAGTCGAGGCCCTGCGGGTTATTTGTTGTAAGAAGAGGTGGTGTGTTGGGAGGAGCGAGCACCAGCGACAGAGCAGGAAGGACGGGAACAGCAACCACAACAATGAAGCAGGGAAGCGGATAAGCAACAAATCCACAGAGCAGGAGAGAGGAGTAGGAGGAGGAGGAGGAGGAGGGAGGAGAGGAGGAGGGGAGGAAGGAGGAGGATCGAATAGGAGGAGGAGCAGGAGCGAGCAAGCAGCAGCTAGCAGCAGCAGCAGCAGCAGGCGGGGGCAGCGCAGCTAGGACGCAAGCACAGCAGAGCAGGGCTAGGGAGCAGGAGCAGGAGCAGGAGCGGGAAGGAGCGAGCGAGCGAGAGGAGAGGGGAGGGAAAGGACGCAGCAGCAGCGGAGCCAGCGGCGGCAGGGCAGCGGGGGGGGCGGCGGCGGCTGGGGGGGGGGAGCAGCGAGAGGAGGAGCAGCCGAGCTAGCAGGAGGAGGAGAGGAGGAGCGCCGCGGGGGGGGGGAGGGAGGAGGAGGAGGAGGAGGAGGCGGAGGAGCGGAGCAGGAGGCAGCAGCAGCAGGAGGAGGAGGTAGCACGAGCAGCAGCAGCAGCAGCGAGGCCCTAGTCAGCAGGTAGGAGGAGAGGAGGAGGAAGAGGAGGAAGCAGGGAAGCAGCAGCAGCAGGAGTGGAGGGGAGAGGAGGCAGCAGACAGCAGCAGCAGCAGCGGAGGAAGGAGGAGGAGCCAGCGAGCGGAGCAGCAGCGGCAGCACGCACGCAGCAGGAGCAAGCAGCCAGGGGGCAGCAGGACGAAGAAACGGGAGCAAGCAGTCAGTGGAACGAAAACGACCAAGCCAGCGCAGCGCAAAAAAGAGCAAAACACGACACAAGAAGGGCGCGAGAAGGGAAGGGCGAGGAGCCGCCGGGGGGGAACGCACGCGCGGCGAGAAGAGCGAGCAGGGCCAAGAGGGTGCGGAGAAGGAGAGAGAGGAGAGAGGAAAAGAGAGCCCAGGGGAGACAGGGGGAGAGGGGAAAAAGAAGTAGCAAAAAGGACAAAGAGAGAGAGAAGGGCGGAGAGAGAAGGAAGACAAGACGGTGGGACGGGAGCGGGGACGGGGGGAACAGGGAGACCGCGGGGGGAGGACAGACGGGGGGGGCGAGGCGGAGGGGAGAGCACGGGGAGAGGAGGGGGAACAGGCACCGAGCGGCGGAGGGTGCGGGACGGGCGGGCCGGGCGGGCGGGCGCGGGACGGGGGTCGGGACGGGGAAGGGAGCCAGGGGCGGGACGGCGGGAGGGGGGGCGGGCGGGGGGGTGGGGTGAGCGGCATGCGGGCCAGCAGGCAGGGGGAGGACGGGCAACGGGGGGGGCGCGGAGACGGAGGAGCAGCGAGAGAGCGAGACGAGGGGGAAGCGCGGGAAGCACGGATGGAGAGCAGGAGGGAGCAACGGACGAGCACGGCGGAGACGGGCGGAGAGAGAGGAAGAGAGAGAGAGAAACGAGCTGTAGGGACCCAGCGCCAGACGGGGGGAGGGGGGGCGGACGTGGGAGGGAGACGGTTTGGAACCAGGGAGCGCGCGACGGGGAGGGAGGAGGGGGACAGGAAACGAAAGACGGTGAGTGAGACGCGAGGCATGGAGACAAGAGGGGGGGAAAAAAAAAGGGGAGCGAGCGAAAAGAGAGAGAAAAGCGGAAAGGGGAGAAGAGGAGGAAGGGTGAGAAGGGGAAGAAGAGGAAAAGGGGAGGAGAAGGATGGGAGGGCAGAGAACAAGGGGACGAGAGGGAGAGAGGGGGGAACAAGAGAGGTCGGGGGAGAGAGCGAGCAAGAAGAAGGCAAAGCGGGAAAAAAGAAACAAGCAAAAGGCAGGGAGAGGAGGGGGGAAGAGGAGCGGGGGCGGAAAGCCAGGGGGGACGGGCGGCGGGGTCAGTGGGGACACCGGCCCGCGGGGTGCTAGAGAGGGCACTAAGCACGCGGCGCACACACGCAGCACAGCACACGACGCGGCGCACGCACGCACCACACCGCAGGCACACCACACATGGGCAGGCGCACCGCACAAGCCACACGCGGCACCACGCACACACGGACAGAGGGACACAACACGGCGTGCGGGCGCTGCGGCACACACACGACACGCACACGCAGCAGGCACACGCGCACACACACGCGCAGACAGAACAGAAGATCACGCACACGCAACAGCACAAGCAAAACAGCACAGGCACACGCACACGGCACGACGCACACGCACAGGCACCACGAACACGCACACGCACACGCAGCACGCACAGTGGAACGCTACACCGCAGCACGACGCACACACCGCACCACACCAGACGCACACACGACAACGGGCACGGGGGAGTCAGCGGGGGGGGCGAGGGGGCGCCGGCACAGCGGAGAGAGAGAGAGAAAGAGAGCCAGAGAGGGAGAGAGAAAAGGCGCTTGTGGAAAGGCTGAGTATATATCACTGGCGCCTCTCTCGGCCATTTCTATTAGCGGCGACGACGACGCGGATGATGATGATGATGATGATGATGATGATGATGCGCAGAGAGAAACCAAGTATTTATATTTGCCATCCCTGTGGCAGGGTCGCAGAAAAGTTGCTGCTGCCGCTCGCCCGCACAAATGCCTGCGTACGTACGTGCGTGCGTGCGTGCGTGCTGGCGGGCGAGCGTGCGTGCGGGCGGGCGGGCGTGCGTGCGTGCGTGCTGGCGGGCGGGCGTGCGTGCGTGCGTGCGTGCGTGCGGGCAGGCGGGCGTGCGTGCGTGTCTGCCCGCGAGCGAGCGGGCGTGTAACTGAAGCCAGCAACTAGGCTCATGGAATGACGAATTGTGTATTGCCGTTATAGTCTCGTAGACTGGTAGGCGCATATATGCAGGTCACTTGCTGCAATCCGTGAACACTTGCCAGGAAGAGAAGCGAGTGAGTGAGAGAAAGAAAGTGAGGAGGGAGGAATAATAGCAGAAAGGGCGTGTGGGAGGGAGAGAGGTTTTGATGGTGGGGGGAGGGACGGAGATAGAATTGCCAAGAGACGAAGAGGGAGAGAGCGGGATGGATAGAGTAAGAATATAATGTTAAAAAATAAAAATTAATAATGAAAAATAATATATTATGTAGTATAAGAGCGAGTGATAGGAGGAAGGAAGAGAGACCGCGAGAGAGAGAGAGAGAGAGAGAGAGAGAGAGAGAGAGAGAGAGCGAGAGAGAGGCGGAAGCGAGAGAGGACGAGAGCGATGGAAGGGAGGGAAGGATGGAGGAAGAGAGAAAGGGGAGAGAGCGGCAGTGGGATAGCGCGTGTGAGATAGAGAGGTTGGAGGCAGGGATTGAGGGAGATAGCCAGCGAGAGTGAGGAGAAGAAGTAGGAGAGGAACGAGGGACTGCACGCCAGCGTGGCTGTCTATATGTAGTCGAGTACATGCACGCCGACGCTCTGGTTCCATTTCCAGTGACATGAATTTTTCGGGCCTGCTTGCTTCATTAGCATGAACTAGTTCCGAGTCGCGGGCATTAAATAGCAAAAGTCACTGTCATGTTTTTTGTTCAAGGTAGCGACGTTTACGTTGTAGTCACGCACGCATGCACGCACACATACACACGCACGCACGTGCACAGGCACGCACGCACACACACGAACAAGAACACGGGAACACGAGCGCGTGCGTTTATGTTTGTTCAGACAGTCTTTGTTGCCGCACGTTTTCCCGCTCGCTTTCTATCTCCCCATCTATCCCTCCCCCCTAAAAGCTCAGAAATATATACTATAGTCACTCACTTGAGCAGTATTTCAGCATGTGTGCAATTATATGGAAGGCCGGACACTGGTCAGTCAAACAAGGTTGACAGACTGCGTTGCCAGCTGCTATTAGACTATGTTCATTTCACTCGGATAGTTCAAGTTCTAGTCCATGTAGCTAAAGGAGATTCAGCAGAAGACTTTCGCCCGGCCTGTAGATCAGTGATCGATAATTCCCGGCTGCTACGATGGTTGCGCCGTGCTGACCGTAGCTGCTTCTAATTGCAGTGCTTCGGTCAGTCACAAGGGAACCCAAGAAAAGGAAACGAAAGGAAATCGGCACAGAGCAATCCCCAATGTATATAAGTGGCGCTCTTATTTTCCGCGACGCAGTAACGAGCACTCGCCCTCGCGTTTTTTGCGTGGTCACTGCAAAATTCAATATGTACATTGAGAGTAGTAGCCCTAGAGGCAATATGGGCAGCTGCTCCCTAGATTTTAAAGTAAAATAAAAGTATGATAAAATTTGATTGAATATAATGATAACAACTATACATATTAAACAAAATAGAACAACTTAAAATAAGCTTATTAAGTGTAAGTAGCCATTAAATGTGTCAATCTTTATGTAGGCATCCTCAAAACCCTCGTCTCTTATTCACTCTGCCACAATGTGCACACTGACTAGGACCTAGGCCCTCCTTCCTCATTACCCAGCTGAGTCACCAAACTTCACCCCACGCAAACATTTTGCTTCAGCTACGACTCAAATAATAACAGGGATTAACTAATGATACATTGTACTTTGCTTGCAGAAGAAAGCGAAACATCCTCGATTATCGAAGACCGGCTCACAGGGTTCACAGAAGAGCACGGATTCCATACCGTCCCCGCACTTATCACGAGGTAGGTAACACCACTGTAGATTTCATACCGATGGAAGTAAAATCTGGGTACCAATTTGCACTCACACATTAATCATATATTTTACCACGCGTTACAGTCCAACGTAGCTCTATATGTTATGTGAGGCCATTAATTCTCCAAAAGGAGCATAAACGCTGCATGGGTAGGGCTACTTCTAACGTAGCTACCCGTTTCTGTGGCTTCCGTATACTGTAATAATGCCCCCTCCCATATATCTCTATTTAGCATGCTTCTGTCCTCATTCGCCATCCCATACAACTCTGAATAAAGATTTGCTGCGCACTTAGTACGGCCGAGCTTGGTGCCTGCTCGTGCGTCACACCTACCTACATGTCTGCGCACCTTCCCTCTTCGTACATACACTTGTCTCCATTCATTAGTGAGAGCTGCAGGGGCAGCGGATCCGTCGCTGCGTTATAATTAATAGTCTCCGAAGATTAATATATTGCTAGGTGAAGCTCATCCGGTTCGGATAAGTGATCAAGATCAGGTATCAGGGTATAGTATTCAAGTAGGTAGCTCTACCCTTGTAGCCCTTCGCTCAGGTTACAGCAACATGTTGACGAGTATGGCTTATCCAGTAGGGTAATAGTAACGTAGCTCTAGCTGCTTTAGAAACAAAATGTTCTGTTTCCATAACAGTGTATATGTCAATGTAACGGAGCCAATGTAACGGAGTCAATGTAACGGAGTCAATGTAACGGAGCCAATGTAACGGAGTCAATGTAACGGAGTCAATGTAATGTTCACCCTAGAAGTCTCAGGTTACATCAATGTACATATGTGTGTGCAGGGATACACACTACGCATCGTGTATAGTGTGTGCATCACATGAGATGTGTTCGTGTATATGCTAGGGGTGTGTGTACAGTATGTGCGATCAGCGTCTAAGATTTGTGGTGCAGCGTGTGGTACTTGCGTAACAAACGTATGTGTTTCCAATGCTTGAGATATGTTTGTCCAGTGTGTGAGATATGTGTGTCAAATGTGCGAGATACGTGAGTTCAGTGTATGTGATGTATGTGTCTAGTATGCGAGATATGTGTGTCCAATCTGCGAGATATGTGTGTCCAATATGTGAGATATGTGTGTCCAATATGTGAGATATGTGTGTCCAATATGCGAGATGTATGCCAAATGTGAGATATGTGTGTCCAATATGTGAGATATGCGTGTCCAATATGCGAGATGTGTGCCAAATGTGAGAGATGTGTGTCCAATATGGAAGATGTGTGCCCAATATGAGAGATATCTGTATACTGTGTCCAATGTACAGGATATGTGTGCCCAATATGAGAGATGTGTGCCTAATGTGTGAGATATGTGTGTCCAATATGTGAGATATCCATGTCCAATATGCGAGATGTGTGCCAAATGTGAGAGATGTGTGTCCAATATGGAAGATGTGTGAAGATATGAGAGATATCTGTATACTGTGTCTAATGTACAGGATATGTGTGCCCAGTATGAGAGATGTGTGCC